CGGAGACGCTGGAAGAGTTGAAAGGAAAGCTCTACACCAACGCTGAAACTATCATCTGCAAAGGTAAAAGAGTCGATCTCAACCAAAGTGTACCGTTGGGACAAGCTGGTCTAGAAGGAGCGTGCTGTTCTGGTATAACAGACAAATTCCCTCCCCATCTCTCTCAACTTAAACTTCATTTTCCATCTTTAAAATTCTTCTATTCTGCTAGCAAATCATTCCAGATATTTTCAGAAATGTCTGTGGTGAAGCAAGGTTTTCAACCATCGCCGTATGGTCTTCCTTGTAAAACTTGCTAAATTAAGCCATGTTGTTATTTTCATATTTTGCCAAATTAATGTAAATGTGTGATGTTAAACTTTGATTCTGTAAATAAATGACGCATTCATTTGATGGGTCAAAGAAAATTAACGTCTCACGTTACGTTTTTAATAATTCAATGCACGATATTATCCAGTCCAGAAAAATGAAAGAATCCGTTTAATTTATGAATATATCATGCATATGTTCATCTACAAACGTGTACACCCATACAATAGAAAACAATAAAAAAGCTTAGAAAACAATACAGATGGAGTATTCAATTATAATACAGCTGTAATGTATCAACTTGGGCTATCCTTGTCCTCTCTGGTCCGGATGACATGGCGTCCCAGTGTTCCATAAAGAACTTCAAATCGTGACTCATCTGACCACAGAACAGTCTTCCATTTTGCCACGCTCCATTTTAAATGACCCCTGGCCCAGTGCAATCATCTGAACTTGTGGAGCTTGCTTAGAAATGGCTTCCTCTTTGCACTGTAGAGTTTCAGCTGGCAACGGCGGATGGCGCGGTGAATTGTGTTCACTGACAATGCTTTCTGGAAGTATTCCTGAGCCCATTCTGTTATTTCCTTGACAGTGGCATTCTTGTTTGAGGTGCAGTGACGTTTAAGGGCCCGGAGATCATGAGCATCCAGTAGAGTTTTACGGCCTTGACCCTTACGCACAGCGATTGTTCCAGATTCTCTGAATCTTTTGATGATGTTATGCACGGTTGATGATGACAACTTAAAAGTCTTTGCTATTTTACGCTGGGTAACACCATTCTGGTATTGCTGCACTATTTTTCTGTGCAACAATGGTGGAATTGATGATCCTTTTACCATCTTGGCTTCTGAGAGACATTGACACTCTGAGAAGCTCTTTTTAAAGTTCCCACAGCGAGGACCAGTCCTTCACCAGTCCTTCACACTGACTCTGAAGCTTTTCCTTGGCCGAAACTGCTCCCGCCATCTTCTTCAAAAGTTGATAAAACAGAGCCCCACTGATGCCAAAAAGCAGAGTCCCTGCTATAATAATTCCAAATATGTAAACGTCTTCAACATCCTCCTGAGACTGGACTGAGAGACACATCATCTGCCACATTCCCCACAAATCCATGACGTACCCCACAGCGTGAGTCTCAGCTGGACACGCCGGTTCTCCAGGACCTTGTCGCTTTGATGAAAAAATCTTATCAATAGAGTTGAACGCCCACGATACCAAATACATAATCTTCTTAATTTATGTTCGGGAGATGAGAACCAGGCGCTTCAGACAGACAGAGAGCAGTGCAGGAAGAAGGAAAAACGGGGGAGGAAAAAACAGAAGCTGCCACCTCAATGTGGGCTTCCACCATTTGGTCTTCTTATCTGATTTTACTCTTTTTCTCTTCTTCACAACAACAGTCATTCTACACACAGCCATCTGATGCTGTCTGGCCACGCTCTCCCCTGCCACAACCTTACAGTCTCCATTCTCCCTCAGGTTTCCTCTTCTACACAAAATGTAGTCGACCTGTGTACTCCTTCCTCCACTCTTATAGGTCACTCTATGTTCCTCACTCTTTTGGAAATATATGTTGACTACAGTCATTTCTATTCTCTTGGTAAAATCCACCACCATCTGTCCTTCCTTGTTTCTTTCCTTGACACCAAACTTACCCATCACTTCCTCATCCCGTTTCCTTCACCAACATGGTAAATGATAAATGGACTGTACTTATATAGCGCCTTTCTATTTTATTTTAAGATACTCAAAGCACTTTACACTACAATCTATGTCCTCATTTACCCATTCATGCAGCACTCTACTAGATCTCTACAAAGCTAATTGAACAAGTCATTCTAATGAGACTAATCAGTGCTTTATGACATTCATACACTGATGGGACACACATCAGAGGCTATGAGGGGTTCAGTGTCTTGCCCAGGGACACTTCAGCATGTGACTGCTGGTGGATTCGAACCCCCAACTCTCGCATTGGAGGACGACTGCTCTAACCACTCAGCCACAGCCACTCCATGTCCATTCAGGTCTACTCCGATCACCACGCTCTCTTCCCTGGGAATACTCTCTATCATTTCATTCAGATCTTTCCAAAATGTATCTTTCTCCTCCTCATCACATCCAACCCGTGCAGCATAACCACTGACAATGTTTAGCATCAGACCTTCTACTTCTACCTTCAGGCACATCACCCTTTCTGACACTCTTTTCACCTCTACTACGTTCTTTGTGAACTTCACCCTCAGGGACATCCTCATTCTATTTTTCTTCATATCCACACCATGGTAAAATAGATTGTGTTTATGTAATGTAATAAGGAGTTAATGAACTTACGAATGGATTTTCAGTACAGTAGGTCCTTGATACTTTACGGTTCAACTTTCGCGGACTCACTATTTGACGGATTTTCAACGTAAGACTGTACACAACACATGATTGGCTGATTGATGGAAGGCGACCAACCACAGCATTGTGCTCTGAATGCCGGGCTCTGATTGGCTCAGTAACCATCGCATTAGTCTGCTCTCTTTCACTGTGCTCTTTTAGAGCGTTTAGAACATTGTTTAGAACATTACATGAGTGTGGGAAGGGTTTATAAAGCCTTTAAATATATATAAATACAAAAATAAATATAACGTCCCTACTTCGTGGATTTTCACGTGTCACGGGGGCGTCTGGAACGTAACCACCGTGATAAATGAGGGGCTACTGTATTGATAAGAAATTAGTTTTATTATTTCTAACAAGTTCCTTGTTGTTTTTTATTAGATGTGTTTTTGTGTGTGCTCCACAGGCTTACCGCCTCAACAGGACGTCAGCAGAGGTAGCAAGGAAAGCAGCTGATGATGTCACCAAACAGTCTGGTTAGCATTATTGTCTACAGTGCAACTACATGTTATTTGGATAGCCACGTGTGCAACATCAAATGGACTCTGTGTGTGTGTTTTCAGGTTGTAAACGCTATGTGGCCGGAGCACTGGGTCCCACCAACAAAACCCTGTCTGTGTCACCCTCTGTGGAGAAACCGGATTTCAGGAACATAAGTAACATAACTTTTTTATAAGTAATTTTGTGCTTTTGTTACGGCAGTAAACACTGGGCATATTTATAAAAACAAACAAACAAAAAAAAACCATATTTTTGGTGAAGGCTGCTAACATTTTTGTGCTTTATGATGTCTGGAAATTAATATAAAAGTAGAGATGTTGCCAACTGTCTTGACTAAGAACACAGCAGCTAATTGTGAGGTCAATGTAAATGTGTTTAAAAATATACTGCAGCATATTATTCTAGAAAAGATTTTATTTTAGACTCTAAAACAGGGGTGCCCAATACGTCGATCATGATCTACCAGTCGATCTCAAAGTTTTTCTGTGTAGATGGCAGGACATTAAAAAACAGACGTCAGTCTATCATTCATCAATGAAATTTGTCACTTGATTGACAGACGGAGCAGTCAGTCTGAGGCCCTGTTTACACAACGTGAAACGTTCGACCGTTCATTGACAGACAACATCTTAATTCTGTCTGAAACTGAATGTTTCTGAATCCAGGTCTCAGAGTGGAGATTTTCAGGGCAATGAATGCAGCTGAGGGTTGCCAGATAAATTTAAAGTGTCTTATTTACGCCCTCCTTTTCTGTGCACATGTTGAACAAACGCAACACACAGCTCATCTTAGAATATCTTTACTCAGCACATATGACAGTTTAGGTCGAAATACTATCATTTTAAAGCCACAGGACTACAGTTCATAATTTCCTATCTGGCAACCCGACTGATATGGAAACTACAGCGTTTTCATGTAAACCTGCTTATTTTTTGTTTATTACTCTCAATAAACATTGAAAAAACACTAACGTTTCCACAGGTTGTTCTGTGTAAACGGGGTCTTACAGCAGGTACATCACTTTGACTTGGTCATTTTAAAAGGAGCTCCACGCAAAAAAAGTCTGGACACCCCTGATCTAAATCATGTTTTTGGTCTGTGGGTGGAAACCAGAGTATCCACAGAAACCATCACATAAAGGTCCCAGCTGAGTTTGAACGTGTGGCCTTCATGCTGTGAGACAATAGCTCTGCTGGGCCACCCAAAATTTAAACTTTCTAATTTAATTAAACATTGCTCTTCAGTTGTACTAGTTTGATCATGCTGCAGTTTAGTCTCTGGAGTTCAGAGTATGGAGGGGAGATTTAAACTGTCCAGTATTAAAGCTGAATTACCTGCTGTAATAATGATGCTAGTGTTTGTCTATAGTGTTTGTCTAAACATGAGATTTTTACTTGTGAAGGCCAGATGAGGTAAGGTGGTGGTCATTAAAATGTAATACAAGTATTCTGGCCCAAAACAAGCTGCTGCCATTTAGTGGAGCAGTTTGGAGTTTTAAATGTCTTTTGTATAAAATAAATCCTTTAACATCAAAATTTCATTGAATAATCTGAAAGTTGACACTGTCAGCCTTTGTGTTTTCAGGTATACAGTAGTCCCTCACTTATCGCGGAGGTTACATTCCAGACACCCGTGATAGGTGAAAATCCACTGAGTATATATATATATATATATATATATATATATATATATATATATATATTAAGGCTTTATAAACCCTTC